ACCCTAACCCTAACCCTAACCCTAACCATATCAAATAGTTACCTCGGGTACATATTATACGCCATTATACGACAATGACCCTTTGTGCCGTACCAACATACCAGGTTATGAGCGACAACAGGGAGCTGGGGTTGTACGCATAGACTGTATCAATGAAGAAGTGGAAATCGAAATTTGTGCTCAGTGAACTCGTGTGTGCTTACCACGAAATTTGCTAATACTAATTTAAAGGTGAAGCCAGATTATTCTTGAGTGGCATTTCAAATGTGTTTTTGAGATCACAAAGCATATGATTTCCGTAACTGTTCGTAAGGATTCAGTAGCCTATTCTGTAAATGCAGTCATTGTGAGCATTTTATCTGCAGTGTTGTTGTTAGTAAATAGTTAGGAGGCAGGGTTGCAATAAAAGGGGTAGTCAACTATAGGGGTAGTCCAAAGTGTTTTATGGACAAGCTGAAGCATGCTTTTTTTGTTTCTTGCAATGCCTAAAATAGCAACATAACAACAACAACAAACAACATTACATTTGTTTATAACAACATTCAGCTTGTTGGTATTGCATTGTACATCAGCTGGGCAGCAAATTTAATATAAATGCTTATAAATGCTAAAATAAAATGAAAAATTATATCATTAAAAGCTCTTGAAAGCCTCACACACTGACTCATTGATTGTTAAACCAGCGGAAATGTGGAACTAAATGTCATGTCTGTGTTTGTGTAGATAATCGAGGACTTACAGGATGCCGACAGACAAACTGCGCACATATGAACGCCGCCTCAGTAATTCATCTATTGGTGTGCCAAGAAGATTGCATGCCGGTAAAACAACAAGCCCATTACCAGCTCATCGTCATTCATGTTAATCATGGTCCGAGTCGATGGAAATGACAATGGATGTAAATTCTTATGTAAGGAAGTAGCATTAGTATGCCTATCGACCCGCCATCTCATATCCCCCGTGGCTGTGCTTTGTAGTGTCTATTTTAGCACGTTTGATTACTCTACGTAGTACGTATATTCTACATCGTTCTTTACTCTTTGCGAAACTCGTCCGACAAACGCGTTGAACGATAAGATAGAATTGCGTCCTGGTTTCATCATGTAGCTCTCATCTGGAATGCGCTAAGCAAGTTTGTGTGTGTGTGTTTGTGTGTGCGTGCGTGCGTGCGTGCGTGCATGTGTGTGTGCGCGCACGCGCGTGATTGCGTGCGTGCGTGGCGTGTGTGAACGCGTCTTCGATTTTGTACGTGAGTGCAGGCTGTATCCTGTATTTTCCAGTTGGTCCATCGTAAATATTTCATGGGTACATGATGTTACTCATTTGTGAAGTTAAATAATAATAACAAATAAATTGCAAAAAGTACTCCAAAATTCTTCACTGTTCAATTTTTAGCTCATCTGACATAGTCAGATGCAGCTTGTAGAATCGCATGATCGTCCGTGCGTCCGTCCGTGCGTCCGTCCGTCCGTCCGTCCGTCCGTCCGTCCGTCCGTCCGTCCGTGCGTCAACAGTTGGGCACAAATCTTA